AACATAGAACCCTCTGGTCTGGTTTGTTTATTTCAGTTCTCCCTCCCTTCCCTTTTGGTCTGGTTCCTGTTTCCTATCCACCTTTGCAACATCAGACTAGAAGTAGAATTCATGGCGTCATGGAAATGTGGGTGATAAACTGTTATCCTTAAAAACATACAGATAATAAGAACTCGGTCTCCAGCTCATTGTATAGAGCCTCTGTAAATGATTTCTTGTTTAAAATAGATAGGGCTGATCTTCAGTGATTGGCTTGTCAATGTGTTATTGCCTTGACATAATAAACTCCTTTTATATTCTCAAAAAGATAGAAAGAATGTACAGAATGAGGCATGGAGAGATTTTGTTTTAATTTTTAAATTTTTTTTATTCATTTTAAACTTAAATACAAAATAAGAAAAAAAAGAACATTTCCATGTATACAGCCAGACCATAGAGAAGATTCAATATAAAACAATGCATTTCCATTTATGTAAAACCATACTATCCATATTTGTATTTGTCAGTTTTTCTCATCTTCCTTCATAGGTCCAACTTTTTCCATGTTTTTCTAAAATCAACCAGCTCATCCTCTTAGAGTGCAGTAGTATTCCATCACAATCATATATCACAACTTGTTTAGCCATCCCCCCCTTGAAGTACATCTATCATGTTAGCCAATGTGATAGGTATACGATATCTCAAAGTTGTTTTAATTTGCATTTCTCTAATCTGATTTATAGCATTTTTTCATGTGACTGTAGTTTTGATTTCATCATCTCCTTTGACCGTTTATCAATTGGGGAATGACTTATATTCTTCTTATAAATTTGATCAAGTTCTTTATATATTTGAGAAATGAAACCTTTACCTGAGAGATTGTCTGAAAAATTTCCCCCAGTTTTTTGCTTTCCCTCTAATCTTGGCTACATTGGTTTTATTTGTGTAATAACTTTTTAATTTAATATAATCAAAATTATTTATACTTTACAATGCTCTCTATCTTGTTTCTTCATATGTTATTCTCTTATCCATGAATCTGATAGATAAATTCCATGTTCTAATTTTCTTGTGATGTTTCCCTTTATATCTAGATCATGTATCCCTTTTGATTTTATCTTTGGTACATGGTGTAAGATATTGGCCCAATTTCAGCCATACTGCTTTCCAGCTTTCCCAACAATTTTTACCAAATAATGAATTCTTATCCTAAAACTTAAATCTTTACATTTTTCAAACACAACATTACTGTAGTCCTTTGCTACTGTGTGTCGTATGTCTGTTCTGTTCCACTGATGTACCTTTATATTTCTTAGCCAGTACCAGGAATTTTTGGTATTTACTGTCTTATAATATAGTTTAAGGTCTGGTACTGCTGAATCTCCTTCCATTACATTTTTTGTTAATTTCTTTGAAATTTTTGACCTTTTATTCTGACAAATGACTTTTGTTATTTTTTTCTAACTCAAAATTTTTTTTAATAATTGGGATGGCATTGAATAAACAGATTAGTTAGGTAAAATTGTTGTTTTTATTATATTGGCTTTGCCCTATCTATGAACAGTTAACATTTCTCCAGTTATTTCAATTAGACTTTATTAGTAAGAAGTGTTTTATAATTTATGTTCATGTAGTTCCTGGATCTGTTTTAGCAGGTATGTCAGGTATTTTATACTGTCTACGGTTATTTTAAATGCTCTAAAACAATATTGAATGATATTGTTGACACGTAGTGTAGTTTCCCTGTTTATCTCTTTTAGTTAAATGTATTTTAACTTTAACTTTGTCTGAGATTTTGATTGCTCTCTCCGTTTTTGTTTTTTTTTTAAACATCAGCTGAAGCTAGCAATTTTTTTTGGATTGTGTCAGTTATGTCAAGTGAGTTATGTCCTAACCTAGATGAAATTTTGAGTTGTTTAAAATACTCTGGTTTAATTAGGTAGTGTGTTACCAACAACTTTTGTGTTCATCTTTGCAAACAGCCCTTTGGCTCATGTGGAGGAGGTTTTATGTCTGTGGAAGACGGCTTCATGTAGGATATTTTCAAACAAATACATTTTCCAGGAAGGAAAGCATTCACTTGCTTGTTCAGTGAACTTATATTAGTAGAGTCTCCTGAATTTAATACAATTATTTATCATCATATATATCTCAGTGTTTAGTGTTTAAATGGTACAGTTTTTTAGGTATAGAACATAGGATTTGTATTTTGGATTGACCTATTCTGTTCTTCATATACTTTAGCAGGCCAGCCCATTTCGATATAGAAATGGTGATTCGTTAAAAGAGCGAATTTCTGCTTTCCAATCTGCTTTTCACCAAGTAAAGGAAAACGAAGAAAAGTCTGGACATTCAGGGCTAGAGGGAGAATTTCAAGCAGCAGACTGCAGTAAGTAAACAAAATCAATTTTGCCCAGAATTTTTATTCAAAATAAATTATAAACTATGGTGCCTGGCATAAAAATGTGTTTGATGAATACTTGCTCTGAGTACTTTAAGTTGCCCATCAGCTTTCTAATCTGAAGCAATCCTGTTTGTCTGTTAAACTCAGCAAATGTTGAGGCCTGAACTGCTTGCCCCATTGTATTAAAAAAAATTTTTTTATGATCATATATCATCCTCACCTCAGCTTTTAAACTCTGCTGATAAACCAATGGTCATCTTTAGTTGTGGAATCACAAAAGCTGTGAAAAAGGAAAATTACCTTGACATTACTGTGCCTGTTGTCATGGTGATATAGCCTTAGTGGGTTAGATTCCAACAATTGCTTGGAACCATCCTCAAATACAAATATGTAGCATCATGACTGATACATTTTAGTGGAAGTCAATAAAAATTGAGGCCTTTTTCTCCAGAGCATACATTCTGAGACAAACATTACCCATTCGCATTTGTGATTTTTTTTATTAGTTTTTACCTCTGTCTCAACTGTGTAGTTTTTCATTGCTTTTGACCTAATAGATCATTTATATGGTTATAGAAGATTTGCTGATGACAGAATTCCTTTAAGATAAGAATAACTGGATTACAGTATAGCCTATCAAGGTTAATTAAATTAAATAAAAAAAAAACCAAAACCTTTTTAAATGCCTGCTGTTTTAGAAGATGCTAGAAATGCAAAGCTTAGCTAATAGTCCATTATTACCCAATTTATCGTGAAGTAGAGGGCCTCAGATAAAAATGCAGAGAATTTTAATTTTTGCCTACATAGTAAAACATGAGAGAATTGTCACATGAAACTCTTAAGTCTTATATACAGCTTGCTTTTCTTTTTAAGTATAAAGTAAATTTAACAGGTAACTTTCAAAGCCGTCCCCCTTGTCTCTGATACTTTCTGGCCTGTCATCTGTTCTGTGCATTTAAAAAAAAAAATGCTTCTATGGCCCTCTTTTAGGCTACTCTGTCTTTTTCTTCTTTCTTTCCCTACCACCAGTCCCCTTCTGCCCAATGCCCTTGTGATGACAAATAAGCAGTCAGGTTAAATGAGGCTGTTTTGACAGGAAATCAGGGATGGCTTTTGTTGAGACTTCATTTGATTTGGGCGGTAGAATATGTGTCAGAATTTCAGATGTACAGCAGAAGAAGAAAATGGGCCTGGGTACTAGTGTGTGTGATGAGCATGGCAGAGGCCATTACTGGGTACATCATATTGAGGGAGCCATTCAGGCTGAGTCATGATGGTCTGACTTGAGGCAAGGCTGCACAGGGCACGATGGTTCCAGTTTGTGGAGACTGACCCCAAGTGTGAACTGTTTGCTTGAAGAAACCGCTGAGGTTTTCTGAATTGAGAAGTCACCTCACCCGATCAATCTGCTGAAGAGTCCCTCAGTAAAAGGCAGGACTAGTATTAGAATCTGTTTGAAGTGTATATATAGCCTTGAGTTACCCAATTTCATTAAATTTGCCTTTTATCTGTTTTAGTGTTTTTTTTTTTCTTTTCCTTTTTTTTTTACACTATTTTGAAGTGATTTAATTTTTAGGATAACTTTTTAATAATTTTGTTAACTTTACAAAATATTCAGAATTATACGTAGAATATTTTAAAGATTTCAAGGGTAAATTGTTTAAATAATTTAAAAACTGTCTTTTTTACCCCCATCTGGAATTCAGCTAAGAACAAAAGCCCCAAACATTGTGACCAGCCCCAGCTGTGTGGAGAGTTACCATCCAAGCATAGGCGAGTATCTTACCAGAGAGACTTAAAAGAAAATATAGCTAATGGTGAAAAAAAGTTGACTGACATCCAGATATGCCATATTGCTACTTTTCCTGACACAAACCGAACTTATACCTGTGAAACTTCTACGACAGATCATTCTAAGGTAAAATTACCTGAAAAAGAAAACATCAGGCCTTGGTGGTTGTTGATTTAAGTGGAGCTTGACTTTCTGCTTAGCTTGTTAGGGCAGCTGTATATGATGCTGCTGCTGCTGCTGCTGCTGGGGGGGGAGGGGTAGCATTGTTGGGTGTGGCTGCTGAGTGGGTGCCTTTGTATTTTCACGTGGTTCCTTTGTTTTTGTTACATCAGATGGCCTATCTGAAAGGAGACCTTCTTTAATGAAATAGAGCTTTTCATACTTTTAAAAATTATTGCATTTAGTGAAAATAAGATTTCTATCCTAGGATCTTGATGAATTTTGAAGAGTAAGGCCAGAGTTTAAGAATTCATTTCTGACAGTGTAGTCGTGTTTTGTTAAATAAAACATCTCCTAACATGGATCTTATCATTGAGCAAAATTTGGCCAGTTCTAAAGGTTGCCAAAGACCCTGCTTTGTAGAAATAGGGTCACTAGAAAATGGATATTTATCTTCTAAATTTGACTCAGGAAACTGAAGAGATCCACTTTGGCTGTTTAGAGTACAACGGAGAGCTTAGTTGTTATGGTGCTTGTGCCCAGGTACCACTTTGAGATCAAATTGAAAACATGGACATTTTGACCAGCTTGGACAAGAAATCAGCATTTGCTTATTTGGTGTTTTCCAGGAAGTAGACCTTAATCAGTACTTTTCCCCCCAGGAATCTTCTTGTGATCCGTCCGTTGTTGCACAGTCTGGATGCTCGGTTTTAGAGGACACTTCACTGAGAAGTCTCTCTGGGGCTACAAGGGGTAATTATTCCATTGTTATTGTGGTGACCTCATGTCCTATTTAAAATGCATTAGTAATAGCTGGCGTTTACAAAGTGATTAAGCTTGGCAAAATGCTTTGCACATTATCTCATTGGATCCTCACAGCATTCCTGAGTGGTAAGTGCTATTATTACCCCAATTCATAGATGAGAAAGCTAAGTCAGATGGTTAAATTGACTTGCCCAAGGTCACACAGCTAGTCAGTGTCTCAGGCCAGATTTGAACTCCGGTCTTTCTGACTCCAGGCCCATTGTTCTGTGCACTTTGTCATTATTTTAGAATTCCTGTTCTGGGAGGACATTTTCTACTTTGTTCTCTAATTTTGCTTTCAACCAAAGCCAATAAGATATTTCTAAATCCTGTGGCATCTCTAACATGTATAAGACCCATCAGTATGTTAATGAGCATAATCTCTTTGTTAACAAGATAACATGATTTGAATAGTATTTGACTAAATTTTTCATACCAGAGGACACAATCTATTAAACCAGCCTTTGATAATATTAGGCCTCACTGCTTTGGAGGAATCATATTTATTCAAGGCTCATTGAATCCTTGTCTCACGGTCCAACTAACTATTTGGACTGTTTCCTCTTTGCTTGGACTTAAAAGCTTCATTACCTAACCTGCTGCTCCCAGCAGTGCATCCTAACCCCTATTTCCATAAGGACAGAGGCCGATGAGTTCCCTCATGTCCCTTCTTCAACTCCCAGCGTCTTCACTCATTCCCTCCTTTCCTTTACCCTCTACTTTTTACTAGAGCTAATCCTTGGTATATCCGTCATCCTCCTGTTGCCCTGTACCACCTTTGTACTCTATTTTCTTCCTCTTCTGTGTAGAAGCACGTTTAAGTCTCGTCAGACCTAAAAAACTCTGAACCAAGTGGGTTTTTTCACTCTCAACTTTAATAACTACCATACTTCTTAATATGTTTGTGTACCTTGTATGCCTTCATTTCTCTTTTTTTTCTGTACCTTTTGCTGTCTGCCTTCTGTTCTTACTCTTTTATAGAAATTATCGATTTTAACTGTTGATTATTCTAGATACAATCAATTCCCTTTGCCTGAAAAAGCGTATGTTTGTGGTTCTCAAGATCAGAATAAATCTTGAACGTTTGTAAGGCAAGTCCACCGTGACAAACTGCCTCTACCATACATGGTAACAGTGAGTAGCAGTTAAATTTTAGATTTAATGTAAGGAACCATTCAGGTTGTCCAGAAGTTCGTTGAACTTCCCGGATTGGTAGCCAGTTACCAATCACTGTATGTGCTCAGGTAGAGACTAGTCTCTGTGGCTCTTTGTTAGGAATGTGCCGGAGAAGCAGTTCATTGAGATTTGTGAATTGGGCAAGTTGTATCCTGAGAGCGCATTGATGGGAGATTCCATGACCCTTATTCACCAGCCTTTCTGTGCCCCAACTGATGGTTCTTCATTACAGCCCATTCAGGTTTGCTGAGGATCCAGCCCCAGCCAGCATCTTTTCTCTCAGTCATCATTTCTTTAATTGTCACTTCTATGCGGATGACATCCAAATATGTATTTTCATCTCTGCCTTCCCTTTAAGCTCTAGACTCGCATCCGGTTAGCCAAGAAAACATCTGTACCATCACTTTGAGTGCAGTTTTTCCCAAACCAAGTTTATTATCTGTAGCCCAAAACATTTTTCTGTTTCTGACTTTTTTCTAGTAGTGACATCTTTATTCAGCTTGATTGGGTGCTCTCTTTTGATTTTTCCTTTTCCTTTCATAATTTCCTTCATGTATAACCCGTGATGTCTATTCCCATAGCCAATTTCTCAGTCCAGGACCTTATGAACATCATATTAACTATTGCAGTTTCCTAATCAGTCATTCTCTATATAATACATTCGTTGCTGCCCTAGATGAATTTTGCTTGTGCATAGATCCAAGCTTATTATTTTGCTCAAAATCCTTCTGCTGTCCTGAATTATATAGCCTACTGAATAAAGTTCAGGCTTCCTAGCTAAATGCAAGGTCCTATACAGATTTGGAGCCTCCCCTTTCCTGCCTTATTGCATAGGATCCAGCTCCACATCATCAACACATTAGCCATATTAGGTCACTTACTCTCCCTCATTCAGGTCCCAGTGTCTTTAGGACCTTTTCTCAACATATTTCTTAGGTCTACAATACCAGACACTCTCCACTTATTCAATGTCTTCTAATTCCTTAAGGTCTAATTGAAATATTACCTTTTCCTATTCCTTATTCCCACACACACACACCCACACACACTCAGTAGTGAATCTTCTCTGCCTATTGTCAGACTGATTCCTTTCGAGCACAGACTGTTTTTGCCTTTCTTTGCACTCCCCCTAATTGGTTGGTACATAGTAGGTGCTTAATAAGCATATTGACTTGTCTCCACCTTGGCACTTACTGTGGTTCATTTGTATCTAATTCTCTGTGATTCCGTGGCTTACACTGTCCGTGAGGTTTTCTTGGCAGAAATAGTGGAGTGGTTTGCCATTTCCTTCTCCATTGGATTTAGGCAAACAGAGGCTAAGTAACCAAGGTCACACAGCTAGTGACGTCTGAGGCCGAATTTGAACTCAGATCTTCCGGACTCCAGGCCAGCACTCTATCTTCTTTGCCACCTCATTGCCTCCTTGGTATCTATGTCTCTCATAAATTTTGTTATTACAGTTACATATTGATTTCTGGTATCCTTCTAAGTAGATGATGCGCTTCATGAGGGCAGGAATAGAGTCTTAGTTAATCATTTTATCACTTCCAGTCCTGAGGAAGATAGTATTATATGTTTTAGTGTTTATTTAAAAATGCTGAAATTTGAAGGTATTAAATTTCCACAGTAAAGGCCAGATGTGTGAACCAGATCCCAAAATACTAAAAGTAGATGTCCCCTTGAATCCAAGAGGAATTGAGGTTTTTTTTTTTTTGTTTTTTTTTTTTTAGTGGAGAGAAGAGTTCACATATGGAATCTATTATCCTAAGTGCTTGAGTAGACTGAAAACATTTAATAGGCTCAAGAAGGATTTACAGAAATTTGTGGAGAAATATGTTCATTACTGGCTATTAATGGAAAATCCAGGAGTTCTTTATAATTTCTATAATCTTTTGAGGCTGAGTTAAAGCCATTCTTGTCATGCTCTCCCACAAAACAGCCATTGGTAACAATTAATGGGGTGCAGGGTGGGGGATCATTGATCTTTTTAATGCTTTTTCCAAAACTTTCTAAGTTGTATTAGAGATAGAATTTTCTTTGATCTTGAGGTACCCTTGCTTTATCTTGTTGCCCAAATCCCACACTGTTAGGGGAAAGTAATTTGGCTCAGCAGAGATTACCTCAAGCGTACTGTTAAAAGAACATTATTGCTTTGTGTCTGGACTGCAAACAGTTGAGGAGCTTAAGTTAGGAGTCTTGTTCATGCACTCTCATCTCTTCTCTGCATCAGCCCTCACAGCACTGAAGGAAAGGGCCGTGGGTGAGCCTGGGCTTCACGTTAGAGGTGGGGAGTGTCTTGTTGTCAAACCGTGAGCACAGATGACGTCCAGTCTAACACCCTTATTCTTCAGGTGAAAAAAACTCAGGTGGCCCAGAGAGGGGGAGTTACACATCCATCATCACCCAGGCTGATTCTTCTGTTAGCAGAGCCTAGGTCCTCCAACTCCAAATCTAACGCTTCCCACTGATTTCCCTTTGGCAAGTCCTTAATTCTTAGGAGGGTTATGTAAAAGTTCACCTAGAGGCTGGAAAAGATAGAAACCTTTTTTTGTTTTTTAAACCTGTGTCTCTTCCCTGTTTCTGACCCCAGGCCAGAAGTGCACTTGCAGCACCCTGGGCCCGTTCTCATTGCTGATTGGCAGCTTTGACCCCCGTTTTCTGACCTGAGCCAGTCTTCCTCTCTTTAGGCAGCTTGGTGGGCTCACTCACCACATTGATGCAGACCTCGCTGCTTTAAGTCACTGCAGCTCCAAACACCCAAATTCAGGGATTCTAGTAGCCTCAGCCTCCCCAGTAGCACATCATAGGTGTTGTGGCACCATGCTTGGCCATGGATTCTAAGTTAACTTTTTAAAGTTTTTTTACATTAGCACTTCTACCTGTAGTAGCATTTTAGAATATTTTTCCTCCTGCCAAGGTCCATGGCGATAAGTAAAGTATCAATTTTCTTTGTTTACCATGAACAGACTACCCAACTATGTATAGTTTCCTAATCCCTTTAGGCCATGGTGTCAGGCTCCAGAGCCCTTCCAGGGTCTGTGGATGGGCAGGTCAGCACCAGGGACATTGGGGGTTAACTGGGGCTATTTCAGCGCCAGCAGCTACACTGAAATGTTAAGTGGTGAGTAGCGGCATCGTTTTGCCGTCTTACAGTGCACCTTTGACGAGAAAAGACTTAAAACTAAGAGCCAACTGCTCTTCCCCGCAGCGTGCTTCCACACAAGAAGGCACTGTAAGATAAGATACTTAACTTAAAGATTAGGGAAAAAATCCTCTCAAAAGCTTGCTTGCTTTGTAAACAAATGGTTTTGGGGGTTGTGTTTTTTTAAATTAATCTAGAGGGGCTTGACCCTCCCCCTAAAGTCTTAAGCTTTTGTGTGTTTCTTTTGAAGGAAAGGACGTAGCTGGATGTGCAGAGGAAGAAAAAGCAAGTAATGCTGCTTCCAGATGTCGTGGAAAGAGAGGCAGATCTGGGAAAGAGCTGAGCACAGAACCATTCAATGAGATCATGCCACCAGTTGCACCTGTGTACAAGGGGGACCTTTCGTCTCGTAAGTCCTCTTTCCTTCGCTCTGTGCTGAAGAAGACCCCCGTGAAGCTGCTTCTGGAAAGCTTACAGGTACCAGGCTTGCCCGTAGAGACTTGTGTGGCTAAGAGAAAGTTCTTCAAATGCGATTGAAAGACAAAACTCCAGAACCTTTAGCAGCGTGAAAGATGTCTTGAGTTTTGTCTGGATTGTAATGTCTGTCAGAAATGTCTGCCTCCCATGTCATTCTATACTCGATGAGGGGGCTTTTTTCTTGGTTTTGTTTTGTTTTGCTTGTCTGGTGAATTTCATCAGTATAGGAAGCCCCTGGTGAGGAAGCCTTTCTTCTCACATAGATTAGGAATTTCTGCTATTTCTGGTCTTGTAAAGTGACTTGCACCACTGGACATGTTGCCTCAGTTCACCCAGATGCAAGACTTGGGCTGAGACCTTTCTGTCTGAGCTTGACCTTCAGTGCCATACTCTGCCAAGGTTGATTTTTATAATCATGAAAATGATTTTATTCAGTTGTTGGTGAGTAGTCATTGCATTTTAGAGCTGCAGAGGATCTGAGACATTGCCTAGTACCACCTCCTCATTTAGTGTCAACTGCTCAAGGCCATATGAAAAATTAGTGGCAAAACTGATGAGATGATCACTCCGTTCTGTGGACTTTTGCTTCATTGTGCTTTTTAAATATACCGTCCTTCCCCTAAAGCCCACGTTGGTCCCCCTAACCTCTCAGCAGAATTGTGTACTAGGTAACCCTCTGGGGGCATGATAGTGGTTGACACCTAGATAGTTAACTGATGGTTGCCCACTGTCACACAGACAGTTGTCTTAGGAAGGATTCTAATAAGTCTTCCTGACTCCCAGGTCCAATATTCTTTGCACTAAGCCATGCTGCTCTCTTGTGGAAGAAAGGATAAAATTTTTACCAAGCTGAGCAAAGTTTGAAGTATGCCTGTTTGTTTGTAGACATTCGTTAATTAAAAAGAAGTCCATTTAAGTATTTAATGAATATCTGTTTCACAAATTTAGATATTTGGGTCAATGATGTTATTTGTATATTAGAGCTAGTGCTGAATAAATATTTGAACAGAATGTGTATTTATAGGGGTGCCAGTAGGTGCCTATTCAGGGCCAAGCTGGTTTGGGAGGGGTTGTGTTGTGTTGAAGGAGTTTGTTAGGGAAAGTTGGGTCTTTGAATGGGTGCTGTTTTCTGTGGAGCCCACTTAGGAAATTTAGAGTTGAAAGTAGAAGAAAACCAGTTGGTCAGAGAGTTGTATGTTGAAAAGAGCCCTGTAGGTTTCTTGTTGGCTCTTTGCCTTCTTCCCTAGTGAAATCCATGTGGTGTTATACTGGTTCCTAGGCTTCCCATGGTCCTCATCTTTTGGGTTTGTATAACCCTAGCTCTTCTGTCAAGTGCTGGCATCCTCCATGGTTGGGAGGCAGAGGTTGAGGGTCAGGGATGAGTGGCATGTTTACCCTGGCATCTTTTTCCAATAATGAGGGTATGCAGACAAGAGATGTGAGCAGCAGGAAGGAATTTCTATAAGGAAACAAGGATAGTGGAAAGGACAATGGATTTCTATTTGGAAATCCTAAGTTCAAATCATATTACCCATCTTCTGGGTCCTAATATCCTTCTCTGTAAAAAAAAAAAAAGAAAGAAAGAAAAGAAGGGTTTTTAAAATATCCCTTACAGTTAGAAATTATGTAATCATATAATTTTAGTTGTCACTTGTCTGTTTAATTACTAAATTATGACTTTAGTGCAATTTCAAACTTAATTCACCTGCAAGGTTTAGCAATAGTACATTTCTTAATGATTCTGTTAACTAGCTGTCAGAGACACTTTTCCTAGATCCAAGATGAGAGGAAACCTTTCAGGTTGGTTCTGTGGATGACATCTGGGGACAGAAGCACATCAGGAAACATCCTTTTAGATTAGACTAAGACTGTCCACCATGTCCTGGTACCTTTTTCTTCCTCAAGTCCTTCATGGTTCCCATGATGAATTTGGACATTTTTCAAAGCCTAAGAGTCTTTATGAGAATAGAAAAAAAGGAATAAGAATATCGTGGTGATAAAGGAAGGGTCAGGATAATGGGGATGAAGGACGATGTAGTTATAATAGTTCCCATTTTAATTCTGCTCTGTCAGGCATAAAGCACTTTCCTCAAAATAAGGCTATGAATAAGGTTGTGTAAGTGTTGACAGTAAACAGTAACTGTTCACATCTAGCAAGAGGCAGAATCCAGCTTCCCCTGTGTACTTCCCAGGCCACACCTACACTGAAGTCTGAGCAGATTTAAAACATTGATGATATTCTTGGTAGAAAAAGGTTTGAAACTGCTGTTCTAAGGAATGTTAGGGATCTAAACTATGTCATTGGGTTTTATTTTATTAGGAGCATTGTGACACCACTGGGTATGATGGAAAGCAATCCCTCTCGTTCTCAGATCTTTCAAAGGGTTGTGAAGAACTGAAAAATGGTAAGGAAACTAAGAATTTTTATTTGTTGTTACCAATAACTCTTTGGTTGGTGCTATTTTCATTCATCTCCTTATGCCTTTGCACTTCTGCTGAGTAATATTCCTGTCCTCATTCAATAGAGGACTTTATGTTTGATCCTTGAAGTTCTCTACAAAGGTAATGAAATTATTGATTGGGGGAGAGGTGTGTGTGTGACCTGGTCTGACCTGGGCTGTAGGAAGATTGACCCCTGAGCAGAGGTTGGACTGGAGGGCAGAGAGACTTGAGGCAGGGGACCAACCACCCAGCAGGCTATGGAAGTAGTCCAGGGGGAGGGGCAGGAGAGAGGTGATGGTGTTACAAAGGTAGCCATGACTGGACTTGACAACTTATTGGACATGGAGAATGAGAGTAGAGTTGAGGATAACACCTAGGGTGGAAGCCTGAGTGCCTGGGAGGACAATGGTGTCACCAGTATAATAAGGAAGCTAGGAAGAAGGGAAGGGTTTGGGAGGAAAGATAATGAACTCCATTTTGGATACAGTGGGCTTGAGATATCTACAAGGTGTTCAATAGGCATTTGGTGGTACCAGAATGAGGGTCAAGAGAGAGGCTAGGGCTGGACATCTGAGAATCTTCTGCATAGAAGTGATAATGTTATCCATGGGAACTGATGAGATCAAGTAAAATAGCAGAGAGGAGGAAGAGGAGAGCGGGCCCAAGACAGAGCCTCGAGGGAGGAAACACTCATGAATTGTGACTGTGAGCTGGATGAAGATCCAGCAAAGGAGACTGAGAAGGTCAGACGGGGAGGAAGAGAGCCAGGAGAGAGAAGTGGAGTGAAAGCCTAGAGAGGAGAGAGCGTCAAGGATCAAAGACTGCAAGTGAGGTCACGAAGGAGGAGAACTGAGAAAAGCCAGTTCAATTTTGCAACTAGGAAATCATTAGTAACTTTAGCAAGAGCTTTTTCAGTTTAAGGATGAATGAATGTGTAAGCCAGAGCACAGAGAATTAAGTGAGTGAGAGGAAAGGAATTGGAGGCATCACATTGTAGACAGCCATTGTCAAACTACAAAAGGGAGGAGATCTCTGAGACGCTAGCCAGCAGGGCTGGTCAGATCAAATGATACAGGCATGTTTGTAAGCAGGAGAGAAGCAGCCAGTAGACAGGAAGAGACTGAAGAGTCGGGGTGCTAGAGGGGGCATCTTGTGGAGAAAACAGGATGGAGTGGGATCACTTGTGCACTTAAAAGTGTTTGCCTAGGCAGGAAGAAGGGTCTTTTCTTAAGAAGATGGTGGTCAACCATGTCTGCCAGGTGATGAGGAAGGGGGGAGAAGAGGGAACTCAGAGAGGGGCCTCAATCTTTTTAGTGAAATATGAGGCAAGATTCTCAGTTGTGATTATAAGGGGAGGGAGGACCATGGGAGGTCGGAGGAGGGATGAAAAGGTTTGGAAGAGCAGCTGTGGAGAGTGGAATAATGAATGAATTTAGTCAGATGTGAGGATTGCCTTGCCTCAGTGAGGGCCCAGTTAAGATCATGTAATATAAATTAGTAGTAGGCCTGATAAGCACAGATTCAAGATTTCCTCCAGGTTTATTTAAGAGCATGTGAGTAGAAGTGAAGGCAGCAGACGGTAGGAGTAATCCAAGGCTGAGGCTTTGCAGAGCAGAATCTTAGGATAAGGGACACGGGACAGAAGTGACGGTGTGGTTCACCAAGGGGTCAGGATGGGGAAAGGAAAGAGAACAACTGAGGAGTCAAGGATTAGATGTCACACTCGAAGATGAGGAACACGGTTAGGAGTAGCAGGGCCTCGGAAGAAGCGGAATGGTAACAGATTATTGTCAGATCAGTTCACGGACGTGGACCTGAGACGCCCGGGGAGGGCACGATCAAGGAGACGTGACTATCTTTGGGTATAGTTGAGGTGGGGTGGAGGAGGGGCTTACGGGAAATGAGTAAACTTCGGGGTGGAGAGGTCAGGGGATTTGAGAGAGTGTCGGTGTGAATGCTCAAGTCTCCCAGGGTGAAGGCTGGCGCTGGAGAGGAGAACAGGGCCATAAACCAGGCTGCTGAACTTGTTGGGAAGCTGCGTCAGCCGGAGGCAGCCGGGTCTCTGTGTGAGAAAAGATTTAAGCTGTACATCAGCAAACTTTTCTCCAAGCACAGTAGAAGGGGGTGGGCAGCTTTAGAATGGGACCTTGGAGTGATTTGGTTACGTTGTTTGAGAATATGAGAATGCCCATCAATAGGGGTTGGAATAAAGGCAGCCAGTTCAGAATCACTGGAGGGTTTGATGCTGTGGAAGTATGTTGATCGCTGAGGAGTGAGTTTAGGTGGGGTGGTTATTATCCCCTGGGGTGAAAGGCTTCGACTGGAGTTGTCTTAGGAAGTCAAGCACTTGTTTCAAGCCTGAAATGGAGTGGTGGGAGCCTGGAGTTGGATGGATGTTCCCAGAGGTTGCTGGGAAACTCCCTTTCTTCCTAGGCCAGTGCAGGCTTTCCTGTGTAACTGATGACTAAGTCTGAGTTTGCTGACTTCCAGCTTCTCCATTCACTCCATAGAATTTTATATCTCATTTTTTGTAAATTTAAAAAGATTGAAAAAATTCCAAATTAGCATCATTGCTGTTCACTTTATATTGCTGCTGTTTTTTCTGCAGCATTACATGGTTTTCAAATCTAAGGCTTCATAGTATAAAGTTGCTTACATTTTTTTATCTACTGCAGAAAAAAGCAGTTTAAAAGGCCAAAACACATGGCACAGAAAAAGAGTTACTTTTGGAGAAGAGCTGAGCCCAGAAGTATTTGACGAATCATTGCCAGCAAATACCCCACTGCGTAAAGGCGGCACGCCTGCTCGACAACAAGATGTAAGAAGCATTCATCCTCCCTTTTTCCCAGGGCTGTCCATTTCGGAGGCAATATCTCAACCGAACTTTGAAGAGCCAGAACAGAATCTTGTAAGTGAGAAAAGGCCTGTGCCAGGCTTGCCCTTGGAGCAGCCCTCCACTTCCTTTGGCAAACAGGCTGATTTGGGTACTTGGGTCACATATTTGTGCTTGAACTAATATACTTACTATCTCCTTTCGAGGATTTGGGGCAGGGAGGGCAGGAGGGAGGATTGTTTGATTTAAATAGAATGGATTCAGATTGCTCATTTGCTATAAAAACCAACAGCCAAACATTGACTTAAAATAGGGCAGTTTACCCTAATTTTGTGTCACTCTTTGGTAGTTTGTGAAGCCTATGGAGCCCTGCGCAGAAAAATGTTTTTAAATGCACGCAATGAAATACATAGCAGGATTACAGAGGAAGCCAATTATATTGAAATATTGTTATCAATTAAAAAGTTCAGAAATGCCAAGTTAAGAATTCCTGGTTTAAAATATTAATGTTTAGTTATGTAATGTTTTTTATATTTGAGGTTCTAATGCTGTGCATGACTAACTTAGATTCAGATATACCTGAAATATTTGACTGTTTCTAATGAAGTTATTTTCATGAAATCTTGTGGGAAAATTATTGAGAATGTTAAATATATAGGTTCCCATTGTAAGCTATACCCCTAGAATGAGATATCTTTGGAACTTATGCATATACAACACACTCACACACACACATGCGGTGAGACAGATCATCATTACCTCTTCTCATCAGACAGATTTTGGGGGCGAGGGCGGAGAGGAAGTTCAGCCTATGATGGGACCAGTAAGATTTAGGATTATTGAATCTAAAGCCCTTTTTCATACTGTATATCATATATATACCAATATTTCATATTGTATAAGTAGTTTATTATGTTCAAGAAGGACTTTTCTAATGTTTCTTGGAGGTATAAGGAAAGTGATTTTTCACAAATAAAACATAATAGACAAGGCGTATTGTCACTTATAATTGTAAATTTTTTATTTTAATGTATTGCATATATCAGTAAATTCAGTTTACTGACAAAGGTATCAGAAAATGCATTTTTCTGTCATAATAATAGCTTACTTTAAATATAGTGCTTTGCTGTTTACTAAGGAAAAGGAAGTACAAACTTACTATGTTTTATTTAGTACTCTGTATTTGTGTATTATTTAGTATTTTCTAGATTAGGAAAGTGAGACTTCCAGAAGTGACGTGCTTTCCCCAAGGTGGAAGTGGCCGAGCTCCAGGATCCTTCCCACATCCGCCTCTCCCACTTCTTTCTTCCTTTCTTAGCTGACGTTTGCAGCCTCTCTTTTCCGACTTGATGTATTAGGGAGATTAAGTTAAATAAATATGGATCACTCCTCATCAAGGCCTCTTTATTTGTCATCAGTTTTTCTCTCGATCATCTGCTGAATATGAGTCTTAATTTTCCTCCCATTCCTTTCAACTCCACTTTGTCCAGGTAAACATGGAACCACTTGAAGTGTCTTTTGCAGTCCTAGGACCTGCTACTAATTCTTCATCCTCTGAAACTCTTGAAGGTATGGTTTGTGTTTTTTAATGTAATTTTTAGTGTCTTCTTAAACATGGAGTGAAAGATAAAACACATACAACTCCCCTACTGTCTAGGGGACTCTGAAGATGTTACATTTGGAGATTCTTAAGAGCTGTAGTGAGAATTCTCTTAAGGAGACCATCCTCAGTCCGACAGCAGGAAGTCTTGACGGCGATCTTGTTAGTTAAGTATTTGCTATAGTAGTTAAATTTTAAAATCAGCGTAGTCCAAGTGAGGGAGACAGCCATCCTGCTAAAGTCTCCCACATGCTCACGGTCCTGATATGATACTCCCAGCAGCTAGCTCCAGCCGCATTGAACGGCTAACCCAGAGAATGAGGGGGATTCTCCTTAGTCTTTCCTCACGGCTACTCTCTGGTTCGAATAGGAACTATGACTCTCCTTTATGGGGTAGACCTCAGAGAATTCTAGTTAGGAGGAAGAGAGAGTTGTGGAAAGAGACCAATGTGAATATGCCGGGAACCCACTAATCAGGGCAGATTTTAACCAGACATGCGCAGAAAATGGAAGCAAGAGCAAGTCAGTCAGGCCACAGAGGATGCCATCAGCAGTGCCTGGCCTCTAAGAACAATGGCAGGAGCCTGAGGAGGAGAGAAGGAGACGGAGAGGCCTGCTGTTCTTGGTGAATGACACCGTCGTGGGGCCAAAGAGAGAAGTGCTCCTCCATTCTTACCTGGCTTCTGTTTCCCCTCGCAAGGAGAAGAGGTTTTTGCATGGGAAAAGACAAAACCAAAATGGCTGAATGTGGAGAGTTACACAAGGAATATGTAAAGAGCGTTTAGCCATCCGGGAGTTTAAGGTCATCCAGGCTGCTGAAGACACGGACGGGTGTCAGTGCTGAGCCACTGTGAGGCCTCTTTCAAAGAGTGGAGAATGGCAGAATTAATGGAGTCTGCATAGACCAACCAGCCTGCACGAGGTGTTACTGGGGGCACAGCTTCAAAAAGCGACCCTTGCTATCCAGGAGCTTTGATTCAAGTAGAGCGAGGCAGTACATGTGCAGCATAAATATCAGGAGAGGACTAGCCGCTGGGATCTGGAAAGGCTTCTTTTGGAGGAGGGGTCCTTGATCTGCATTTGGGGAAGGAGCGCATTCCAGGCCCCAGAGACATGTAGTGCAGAGGTTGGGGCAGACAGGTGATGGAACGCCAGGTATGTGGAACAAAAGAGGTCAGTGAGGCAGGACAGCAAAGTGTGGGGAGCAATAGAGTAGACCATCCTAGGCAGAGAGGCTGAGGCCAGTGGTGGAAAGGGCCTTCGATGCCAAACAGCAAAGATTCTGCCTTATTCTAAAGGATGTGAGGAAGTCGCTACTTAACTTCAATGCCAGGAAAAAGAATGGATAATGCCAGATTCGCCTTAGAAGGGCTGTTGGAAAGTATTTTGACAGGGTTAACTAAGTTGGTAGACCAGGAGGATGGTGCCATAGACCAGATTTACCTGTATGGAAAAGACAGAGAGGTATGGGCTTCAGGAAACTCCAGCTAGATGCATTCAGAAGACCTTGAGGAGGAAGAGGAGTTAATGCTAGTGGTTCGGTGTGTATTTGAAAGGGTGATGAAGCTGTCCAAAGGAGTTCTGCAAGTTAGTGCAGTGTCCATGTTCCATACCTCTGGTTCCTGCCTGCAAAGACTACAGAGATGCATTCTCTCATCTTGTCTCTTGGGCACAAACTTGGTCATTCTAATTACACAACGCTGCTTCTCTCTCTTTTTTTTTTTTTTTTTTTGTTCTTTCCATTGACATTGTGGTGATCCATGTCTGTACTGTTTTTCTGGGGCTTACTTTACACCATATCAGTTTTGTAAAAGTCTGCTCATTGAGCTAGGATTGTGAGACCCACCCCTCAGAGGTATTACACCCTACAAGGATCTACTTTAGGAACTGAGATTTCATCTGGAAAGAAAGACTTGGAAAGGGTACATGATAGCTCGCCTTAAGTATTAGAAAGCTTGCCAGCAACAGAGAGATCAGACCTGTTCTGGTTGGCCCTGGAGGGCAGTGCTGGGGACAGCGAATGAAAGTCACAGAGATCTCAGGCTTTATGTCAGAAGAAAATGGATAACGGTTGGACCTATCCACGAGGGGATGAGCAGCCCCCTTCATATGTTCCAGGTGATGGAGGACTGCTGAGAAAGACCAAATACTTGCCCATTTGAACTTGATCATCACCTAGGTTCCTTCCAAGTCCTGAGATTCTGTGATACCAGTTTCTGAGCATAACTACAGTTCCCCTGGCAAGTATAAGGACCTGGAAAAGGCTAAGGATTATCTAGTCTCCATTTAACTGATGAGAAAATTGATCTCAGGAAGACTTGATTTGGTTAAGATGACAGATAAATAGAGAACCCTAAATGTAAGATATCTCTGGACCATCTAGAGTGGCCTCAATCTTCTCTATCTGGCCACTTTTCATTTATTTATTTCATTTCCCATAAAAAATAATGTGCTTGGTCTTAATACTATTCAAGACATTTTAATATCAAGATGATGAACTGAATCAAAATTTTACAAAAACCTATGTCAATCAGTTACCAGAACTAAAAGTGTAGTGTCCAAATGCAGTTTAATTCAATAGATGTTCATTAAATGCTCACTATGTACAGGGTGGGTGCTATATTACATGCAAAAGACAGAAAGACATGAAAAATGTCTGCCCAGAAAGAGCTTACATTCTACTCATTCGTTATTAGCATGTCATTGTATTGACTGTTGCTTGAAATCAGAACACAATACGTTTTTCCCTTAGCAAACACGTTATGGTATCTGTAGCATGCTTTAATTTATGTATTAACACATTGCTTTTTTTTTTTTTTCGTAATGTATTAAATAGTTCTGCTATTTCAATCTGTTAATACATGGAAGCGACCTTGGAATCTTTAAGGCTCTATCATCAGAGCACAGACTTTGGCAGAAACCTGCCAGGCTGGAAGGGCTGTAAATACAGGTCCGGCTACAGTCTTAGTTTGCCAAGATGCAGATAACTTTGATTCACCACTGGAGGACTGGCTGGCTACGCAGTGGTGATTTCTTTTATTCTGATTTGTACCGAAGGTGTAGAGGCATCATACTGTAAATTGGAAGTTAGTGCTCCTGCAGTGAAACAGTGTTGGGCGGTCTTGAGAAAGGTCAAGTTTCATTGTGCTCGGTAGATGTCTGTACCTGGTTTCTAAACTTATCTTGGGTATCTAGAAGGTGTCAGGATGGCAATACATTCACCACCTCAGAAGTTATTATGAGTTCAGTGTTTCAGTGTGTGTGAGGGGACATCTTTTTGTCATTAGGCAGCTTAATTAAAATCCTGATTTTGCCTTGTGTTTTACTCATTCAGACACTGATGTTGTTAATTCTTCAAATAAGTGTGAAAAAATTTCCCCTTCCAAAGTTGAGAGGATAACACGATCCTCTAGCAAAAGGAAGGTAAGATATTTTTGGTTTTTTGTTCTGTTTGTGTTTTTTTTTAGTGTAACACTTTTACTTGAAGCTTTGATTGTTAATAGATTTTTGAGTGAAAAAAAATTTCTTTATGAAATGAATGTTTTTTTCTTTCCCTCCATTTTTTAATGGAGGGAATTCCAATCCTTTTTGATTGGATTCCAACAAACTCTCTTAAAAAAGAAATCCTTTCAAATTTGATAACTTTCTCCAGTACTTGTTAATGTAGCAAGCAGGTGATCTAGTTTAAAGAAAACTTTGTTTCAATTTAGAGCTTTTTTCCTTTTGTTGTAGCTGTATTGTCCTGAAATTTTAGTGGGGTGCAGGCAACCTTGGGGCAGTGAGATCTAAACAAGAGTCCTAAGTCCCTGCTTTGTCAACAAAATCTATTAAACAATGTTCTTTCTGTTTAAATAATTCAAATTTAATTGCAGTTGAATTAATGGAATTTTATTTGTAATTTCAAAATATTTGAATAGTCCCTCCTCCTAATTTTTATTCTATGAGTATTCAGGGTAGCAAATACTGGATTTGTGAACCTTACCTAATCCAATAGATTCTGATTCTTTTTTTTAATTGACAAATCAGTTATTAGTTTATTCCTTCTTTTCCTTAAATGTGATTGGTATAATAGATGATACAGTCCTGGCTTTATGTATCAGTTCGAGATCAGGTTGGAAACTTTGAGTTGATTGCAGTGGATCATTCCAGCAGTTTTCTCCTTATAAGTCTTAAAATCAGTTACAATTTCATGGTGGTGTTTGAGGGAAAAGTAGCACATGGAAGGGTAAGAGGCCGTGTAACAGAAAAAAAAAAAAAAAAAAAGGAAAATTATGTGATTGACACAATGTGCTTTTTTCCCCAGTGTCTTAGTTAACAACTAACACGAGAGTTTTAAAGCTTAACATTGTCTTTCTAACTTCAGATTTTATATTTGCTACAGCAGTCGGCTAATGTTACTGAAGAAGCTGATTTTAGCAACCTAGTTAGCACAGGTGTTAAGCTTGATAGGGAAAGGAAATACAGTAGGAAGACAGCACAAAGAACAAAGAACACTAACAGAACAGCATCGAAACAGATAGAGGTAAGTGTGTGCAGCCCTGGCCCTCCTCCCAGGTCGCAGCTGAGGGGGCTCTGCCAGGCAGCCGCCTCCTCCTCCTCACCTGCTCTTGCTGTGGTCATTCAGCAGCACAGGGGGCATCTACTCCTCTTTGACCACTCTTCCTAAGTCGTGGGAGGGAGCCAGAGTGGCCTTGTTTACTCAGTGTTCCACTTTCCCGTTTCCTCCAGCTCTTCTCCATCACGTCCAGGCTTTTTGTATTCCTGCTTTTCTTGCCTCTTCCTTGCCCTTGGGCTGGTCAGTATTACTCTTTGAACAAGTATTTCCCACAGTATTCCAGGTATGATGCTTGTCATCACTAAGTATAGTACTGGACTTTTATTAGTAAGACCTAAAACATATTCTTTTTTTTTAGCAGCCACATATTACTTTTGACTCATGTTAAATTTGTGATTTCATTTCTTTGTCTCCTCAGTGCGTTAGCTTGGTGTCTGGCACGTGGCAACCCCTTAATAAGTGCGTGTTGACTTGGATCAACTAAAACAGCTGCCAGGCCAGGTTTCTTCCATGTTATAATTGCATTTTTTTTTAATGTACTTAGCTGAATTCAATACTTTGTATCTTATCCTTTTAGTTTCCAGCTTTAATTCAGTCCATTGCTTTTCTGATCAAGATAATTTTGAATGTTTATCTTGTCCTTTCTTACACGTTGGTTATTGAATCTAGCTTTCTGTCATAGACAGATTTCATCCCAGCCTAGACCTGTAGAAAAGCACCCTCTAAAGTGGAGATTTGAGCTGTATTCATTACAGTAGTTCAGAATGTTGCAGTGCGAAAGAGGAGCAGCCTTGGAATCGGAGGCCTAGTTCTGACTTTAGGACACCGGGCAAGTTCATTGAGCCTCCCCTGGTCTGTTTATCCCTCTGTAAAGTGGTTACAGTACACCAACTATACTTTTAGATATTGTTGTGATGATCAAATGATGTACTTTATAATGTAGAGCACTATGTCAACGTATTATTGTTGCAGTTACTAATAATAATATATAATAAATATCCAGCCCACTTCTCACTGTATGATCTCTAAGACTATAAGGGAAAACTGTTAGGTACTTTGTAGAAATAAAAAACAACTTTTAAAAATTCTCAGTGAAGTTCTGCTGCATATTGTTTTGACATATGTCTCTTTCTTGAGTTAGAATTGTGGCAGCTCACATCTCCACAGGTGGAGGCACATTGTTTCCAACTGCATGTTGTAGCCCGCCTCCACCTTTTCCATCCTCGCCTGCTGCTTTGCTCTGTTCTCCTGTCCGAATTTTATGGGGGTCAGATGTGGCCTAACACCTTAGGAGCCATTGGAGCACCCAGGCTCTGTCCCTTCTCCTCACTCTGGCCAGATGACTTTGTTTGCTCGTGCGTGTCTGATGATAATCCTGATTACTGCTCCTTCTGCAAAATTATTATTTGACAATTGTCCTTCAGGTGTCCTTCAACTTTGGGTTTTTGGAAACCACGCTGTTCCAAGACTTGTAGCCAAGACACTTGGGATCACTAGAATCATTGTGTAGTTTCCTAGAAACAATCCAGGCCCTTCTCTTGTTTCTGTTCAATTCTGAATCTCGCTTTTTATCGTTTCACAGCGTCTCTCTGAGATGGATAAGCATTCTTTTATCAGTCTTTCATTTGCATATGGACAAAGTGAAGCAAAATTCTTTTGAGTGTCTTTGGTTCTAATTTGGAAGACTCTTCAAGGTTCTGGGACTTGACAGAATTGGAGCAGTGATTTCAGCTGCAAACCAGGAACGGGACCATCATTATCTAGAGTGGGGACGACTGGTTGAAAATCGTTCAGACATATGAAGACAATCGAATAAAGAATTTGAGTGATAGAGATGATGTAAAAATTATAAAGGATGATAACACTGCTTCTGTTTTATACATTTTCTTAGGTGTTAAAAAATTGCGGAAGGAGGAAAGGAAAAGGAAAAGGAAAGAGGTCACAGAAATCTTTCTGTGGCCTAAGAGAGGTAGCTTCTAAGAAACCTCTTCTGAGTCCTATTCCTGAGATCCCCGAGAGCCCTTCTACAGCAACACCCAATGCGCAAAGAATGCCGCTTCCGTGGCGCTCAGGTATATAGTACTTTTCCTTTGGTTTCTCGGTTAGTCATTTTAAAACATGAAGTAGGGCACTGTAGCTGCTTCTATCAATGTGGGCGAGTAAGTTGAGGTTGCAATCCATTTCCACCCCGTCCTACATCATTCTTGCACGTATTTATTCTCTTCTGAATAATCCACAGGCATAACAATTGCTCACCAAACATCTGTTGACCAGTTAATCATGCGTTGGACATACTAATGTAACTGTGCCCTGAAGGACTTTGAATTTCTCCAGGAGGTCGTGCTGTAGCCTAAGGAGGAAGCAGTGGTCGGGGAAGAGGGCTCCGGGCTACCCAGCCTTTTCCTGTCCCTCTGCCCAAGGGGCTTTCAGTTAACTTGCCTCTATCCTATTTGATAGGAAAGATCACTTGTACACTTAGCCATGTATTTGGACATGAGAAATAAATTCATTTTAGTTTACGGTAGGGGTGACTGTTTATTCGTTTTTCCAGCTCAGTATAAAAAGTTTTTCATATCTTCATTAAAAAAATTGGTTTTGTTCAGTTGGAATCATTTCTTCAACTGCTACTGACTTTTTTGAGATACACTCACCCTTTTCCACCCTGTCCCTGCTGCCCAATCTTTCTTTCTCCAATCCATAACATTTTTCGCTATTACTTTTAGAATATTTCAGTAGACTCATCCTAAATATTTACCACGTAATCCCCAGACCCACTTGACAAGCTTCTTATATCAGATTGGGAAACTGATCTAGGAAATCAGAGAGTTTGTGAGTGGGACATGGGGCTACACATTCATACCATCTCCCGTAGTAATCATGGTAGTGAATTTGATTCTTATCCTCTGAACACGAAGGGGAGGAGGCGGCCCTACTAGATGTGGTGTCCTGTTGAATGGCTGAATGGGAACTGAAGCCTGGTGTGGGGCTGCCGAGTAGAGAGGAATGTAATGAGGACTGATTCATGTTCCAATTCGTTTGAATCTTAACTGATTTTTTTTCCATTTTACCTAAGACTATTATTACACTAAGGGTAATCAGCTCCTCTAAAGCACATTGTGAAATCAAGCCATTACTACTTTCCTTATTACTGTCTAAAGACTAAAACTTTCATGATAATTTTCAAGGCAAATAACTTTTGCTGTATATTTTAAAGAAGCATTTGGCTCATTTATATTCAGTTCATTTTTTTTTGTGGGACTTAGGATTTCATCATTATTGGGGAATCTCTCGTGATACAGATCAAATTCTTAAAGAGTTACCTCCCGCACTGAGAGGTTAAATGACTTCTCTGTCATCACACAGCGAGTACAAAGCAAAACCCAGACTTGAACCCTGGTTTTCTAGCCTCCGAGACTAGCCATTAGGCCGCACTGCTTCTAGTTATTCACAAACTTACTAGTTTGGATGTATTTAATATCAAGCATCTTCTAGGATTCAGAGTACCACTGTGCTCTGTAAAGACCATATTGCAGTGAAAGTCTTCAATTTAAAAACTAAATTTTTAAAAATTGGCTCACTGATTTAGAGAGGTCTGGTCTGCAACCATGTTTCCAAATGGGCTTCCTTAAGATGTAGGAGGTGCTTCTCCCTTTATTGGACGTCATCACATCAGACAAAAGCTAGATGTCCATTTGTTTTCTAGAGGGGAGAGTTCCTTTAAGGGAGAGTTCCTTTAACATTAAGATTCACAGTGCCCTATGTATATGTTCAAAAATAACTTACAATTTTTTTACTGATTAAATACCATCGTAACTCTTTGTGCCTATTTGTTATCAAAGCTTTATATAATTATTTTATTCAATAGTTGGTTCAGTTCCCCTCTCTCTTGTTTTCTTCTCCAAACTATATATCTAAACATGATGCATTGGAAATAAATTATTGGATGGAATTTGGTGAAAGACAGGACCATATTGGATCTAGTACAGATAGTTTATTTTTGGAAATACCAAAAATATTTTGTCACTATACAGTTCAATCCCTAATTGGATCCACTGATGTAATATGATAAAATGGTTTAGTAGAATAATTCATTTAAAAATTTTGCCTCTTCTCCAGTATGTAAGTAGGAATTCATGAAAACTTGATAAATATTTATGTATCTGTGAAATCGTATAAATAACCCAGCTTACAGGTTGGTTGCATAGACTAGGTCTACCCCACGTTAATACTAAATTATGTATTACATTACTTTGTGTTAGATTGTTTTATTAGCCAAGTAGAAAGGACTGATTTGTCAATTTCATTTTTTGTGGTAACAATTTAGAATTACAGAGTTGTAACACTTACACTGGACAATGTAGTAGCAATTCTTTGTAATTAAGTGTTATGCTGTGACTTATCTGTGATAAAGAAACCCTATCAAAGAATGCAGAAAATCTGATTTTAGTCCCGTCTTTATTATTGATCTTAGACACATTAGCCATTTTTCTCTGCTTCAGTTCCTTGGTCATGTCTCCATACGTGACAGACATGGGTTTTGCACAAGTTGGTGGAATCCATGAGGGAAGTATATCACCAGAAAAGCGTTTATAGAATTGAAATGTTTTCATGAGCTAGATGATACAGATTGACTCATTCAACAAATATTTTGGGTACCTGAACTCTTGTTATGACGGAGAAATAGGAGGTAGCTAAGGAGAGTATCCTCTGTGATGGGTGGAAGATTTGGTAGGTTGCTTGCAAGACAAAATAGGGTGGTGTATCATGGTTTTGCAAGGTACAGAACACAAGGTGTATACAAGCAACAGTTTTTAAAGTTTTAAGTTTGTTCTTCATTGTTACCTTTTTGTCAGATTGTCTTGATTTGCCAAAAGAGGATTACAACACTTCCAAAGATAGAGATGAAGATGCCATGAACTCTGATCTAAATAAAGCAGTTGAAAAACCCAGAAATAAATATTTGCCCCAGAACTCAGAAACCTTGGATCCGTCTTGCACAGAAGAAGACACCTCTGAATGTTTCAGTTCTGATAGAGAAGGTGACTCATCCCTTGGTCATGTGACTTTTGACCAGGGTTCAAGTGTCAGTACAATAGCAGCTTATGGAAGTGGCCGTATTCAACGTGCCAACAAGCTGGAGCGTCGAGACCACGCAAAGAAAAGGACTAAGAACCACGACGTCTGTCTTCTTTCTCCAGCGTTAACTCTTGCGGTAGAAGAAGAAGTGACTCCTGGTGTCCCCGAGTCCAGTTTTTTTCTGTTGCAGCCCCTGCGGTCTGCTGCTGTTATCCCAAACGTGGAAAGCGTTTGTGAGTCTGAAGGTGCCGACGGCACGCAGCAAGTGGAAGAGCTGAGCACGTCCCGTGAGCAGCAAGAAGATGCTTTCGTGGCTTCTGAAGGACGACCAAAGGCAGAACTGAGTCACGGAGAAGATGGCGCCGCCAATGAAGACGGGGAACAAATCCTAAGTCGCGGCCAAGAGTCGAAGCAGAGAAAACCGAAAGCGCACAGCGGCGTCTTAGCTTGCAGAAGTCTTCTAAAGAGGCGGAGAAGAAGCTCTATTTACCGTCCGGCTGATGAGGACGTCCATTTCGAGGAGCCGACCGCCTGTCCGGTGGAAGAACTGCCTTTTGACAATTCTGCCCTCTTCACCGATTTAACCGAGTCTATCAAACAAGCTTTTAGGAGGCTGAGCACCAGTGGGACAAGAGTGAGACGCAGCACGAGATTGCGAAGAGACTCAGTAAACCAGGGCCTCGTTTGGGTTTCGCTCCCAGGCCCCTCTCCTTCCTCTGCTGCTCACCGAGCCAAAAGGAGGACAGTGTGTTCCTCTACCACCAGAGAATTCGAAGATCTGTCCTCCGCACAAGGGCCCTGTCTCTCGTCTTCTGTCTCCGACAGAGAAACCTCGGAGAATGGCTCCGTGTCTGATGCTTCTCACGGAGCCAGGAGGAAGAGCTTTTGTGTCTCTGCTCTTTCAGAGACCAGACGTGCCTCCGGATCCAAATACTGCAGGAGAACGAGCCGTTCTCATAGGAATGAGGAAAACCACCCAGATGACTTAGAAAAAATGGAAGCGTTGGCGAATCCAAACAATATCTGACATTTCCGGCATTCGTTTTACAAGTGGGAAGGTAACTATATGTTTAAGAGATTGTTTATTTGCATTGTCATCCTTCAGAATGCTTTATTATTCATGAACATTTCTTTTGAAAGGTCAACAAACTAAACCAGTTAAAAATAGATGTTAAATGTGTCTTCTTCATAGTTAACCTTTTTAAAGGAAAATAATCCATTTTTTCTCCTTCAAGGTAAATGATGCTTCAGTGAGACTGAAACTAGGAAAGAATGAAAATTTTAGACCATTAATGTTAGGAATCCCCAGTTTTTATTGAGTAAAATATCCAAAACTAACTGGAAATTCTATTTTTGGAAAAGCTCCTTTAGATATCTAAATCTGACTAATTAGGTAATTAGAAAAAATAGTTGTAATTGATATTATAGAGAGATAGAAGGGGCTTTGAGTAAATTGGAATCAAATTAACCTTAGGCTATAAAAGACAGTAAGAAGGGTGGGTGTTGACTTTTAAAAATACTATAAGAAGGCAGAGACAGTTTTTCTAAATATGAAAATACATCCCTTCATAAAATTTTGTCTAGGAAGTAAAGAACAATTTTTTAGGCAGTTGATAAAAAGCTAGACTACTTGGCTTGCAGATTTCAAAATCTTGATAATGTTATGTCTGTCTCCAGTGAAAATTGTACATAAAATTATTAAAATCCAATATGAAATATATACTTATTTAAGATAATTTTTCCAGTGACTTGTTTTCAAAAAATAAATGCACCGCTGAAGATTTTTTTTTTAAATGAGCTTGACGAGAAGACATTGTTTGCTTTCAATTAAGCTGTCTATCTCTTCAGATAAATAGGTGGTTGGTTAAGATGCAGTGTTTTGTAATTCTTGGTGCTAAGATCACCCAGACAGTTACAGCTAACTCAGAAGCTTATTGAAAATTTTCTTCTCAACATGAAGTGATGCTATCATGGTTTAATTTTCAGTAACCACTTTTAAATGATCTTAATTGGTTGGGCCCAAGAAAAATAGTCTGCTGGTGTGTGGATGGCATTAGATCTCAGCTTACCCTTAAAAAGCAAAATCCTTTCCTTTATCCCTTGGCATTTCCACTTGGGAGCTTCTGCTAGCACTGGCGTGAGTTTAGCTTTTCTTTGTTGAGCTGGAGTCTCATCAGTCACTAGGTGAATGGGCACAAGGACTTTGTAAGACCGAAAAAACCCTGGTATGTCTTGAACTTATAAAAATCCATATAAATCATTGTGTCATTAAACAGTTTTCTTTGAAGTCCTATTAAACCTTTCTGCTGTAATAGCAGAAACTTGTTAACAAATAGAACTCTTTATAAATAACACAACAAGGAAAAAACTCCTGCTGTGATGGAACATTTTTTCTCTTCTGTAAAGAGACTGCGTTACCTTCTTGGCACCAGTAGGTCTGGGACCCCTGCTGCTAAGACTAATGTATTTTACATTAACACTCAGAGTGATCCCAACTCCTGCTAAAGGGTGGATTGTTTCCAAAGCTTGGTTTTTGGCAATATAAGACATTTACGGACTTTTTTTTCCGTTTATGGTTGATATGGTTAGCAAATCATCTGTACCTCGAAAAAAGTACTTGATTTTCTGTTATATCTTTTTTCCAAACAAATTTAGTCTGTAGCTCTCAATATTTTATCAGTCTTTTGTTTCTTTATTGTTTAGCATGAGAGTGAAACCTTTTCTGATGTGATCTATAATGCTTCAGTTTTCTCTAGTCTAACGCAGCATCAGATGATTTTTATGTTTATGAAATAAAATCGAATTTTCTCTCTTTCAATTCCCAGCCTATACTAACAGGGAGGGGAATATGTTTGGTATGTGTATGTTTCCTTTATCTCTTCATGATCTTTCACTGTAAACTTGTTTGTCTTTTTATGACTAAAGATGAAAATAAAATGTTGTATACACTTTTGAATTACTATTGGCTTCAAAATGTTTCATTATAAACATTTTACTTGGTTTCTACAGATAACAATAGGCAGTTTTCTCAAAAACAGAAGATCTGAAGAATTAAAGCAACTTAGAAGCAATTTCATCCAAGAAACTCTGTGTTGTAAAGATTTTAAATGTTAAGATTTCTGAATTTGATCATGCTTGTTTGCTTTTACTGTTTTTCATGGGTGGTGAAAACAAAGATCATGATGTACTTATGTTGTGTTCATTTTTTCTGACTGCCTTGCTTCCAAACATCTTTACTCTTAGTACATTTTCTTGAAATCTCCCTGTATCCTAAAAATTTTAAGATAAAATCTTTGAATTGCTTTTTATATTGATGTAAATTCTTCTTTGTACCAGAAGATGGCAGCCTGACATGAGACTTTTTGTGTATTTAATTATAAATCCAGGGCAACACCTGATTATTTTTGTGTGTTCGTTCTTTAAACTATCCCCCAATTATTTGGTGTGAAATAAGACCTCTGATAGTTAAGCTGGGCACCCCCAATCCTTTCTAGCGAGTCAGCCTCTAACAGCTTCCCACACAGATATCTTGGTTGGTTTTCTTATGCGTCCCACCCTCACCCCAACTCCTGCTTTTTGCTGCTCTGTTTTCTCCAGTCTTCTTCTGAGTCTTGGCCCTACCTTTTACTCCCCTTCTGCAGAGGATGCCCTGGTTGGCAGGTTCAGGTTCCATGCTTAGCTCCAGTAATCTTCTCTTAGCTTGACACAGACACAGAATTGGGGAGGTTGTTTGTAATAGATTTTAAAGATAGCCCTTGATCACAGCTGATGTATTTAAATTTGGGAGGCCTGGGGGGGTGCAGGGACAGGTTATGTGAATTGATGTCCAGCTGGAGCACTCAGCTAGAAATATGTGTTTTCTTACTCTCTACCTATATTGGAAAGAGGCAAGTCACATGGAAACAAGCCGATGTAGCTAATGCACGTTGGGTCCGCAAACCAAAATGGACTCCCCACAGCCTGTTTGTGGAGCTCAGGGCACATTCTTCACAACCTCCTTCCATTTCTGGGCCTGCCGTGGAGCCAATTAGTCTTGCCTCTTGCCATCCCTCTCTTGTTGGGGGTGGTTATACTAGGTTAGTTCTCTACTTTAAAAACTGGTCTTTTTTCTATCTGGTAGTTTGGTTCAGTTTTCCTTTTTCCCTTGTTTGGAGTAATTCCTCCTCCCCTCTCCCCAGCCCCCCAGTAGGGGATAGGAAGGAGACAATCTTAGGTCACTATAAGACAGAAGAAAGGAGCTTGCAGGGCCTTAACACGCCAGAAGTCTGGTTGGGATAATTGACATCAGTGGAGAGCGACACTACTTACTATCCCCAAGAAATTGAGGGTCAATGGACGACCCGTTGGAGAAACAGAGAAAAAACCTGAGTGATCTGAGGTATGCTTGGAGTGTTATTCCTGCTAACCTGTCATCGTTTCTTTTCATTAGTTAGGTAAATACTTGCTGAATTAAAAAAGAGGGAAAGATTATATTTCATCCATTTTACATCCATTTTACTGGCCTTTAGTGAGCAGAAACATAACTTTTTTAAAATAGTAAAGATTGAAATAAAAATTCATGAGAAAATATTGACTAACTGAAAGATAATCATTAACTTTCTAAGAATTTTGGTTGAATTTTGAAAATAAATTGCTTCTCACTCTTCTTGGGCTTTACTCAACATTTTTTTGTCGTTTTATTTTTAAATTTTTTACTGTGAGCTGAAATCCTGGCTTCCCACAGCAAACTTCTCTGGTTTTAGTCCAACCAGATAGATTATGCATAGTTTTACATTGTCTCTACTCATACTTCATTCACACTGATCTTAAAAGTTAGTTAATATTTGTCAAGCCATAATCACAACTTTGAAAAACTTTAATAGGAGGAGGGTAGGGATTCTGTAGGGTTTTGGGATTTGCCGTTTATCTTTCACAGCTCTTCAGGACATTTCTGCTCCTAAATATGGCTTAATATAGATAAAATTAGTTCCTTTGCAGTTAACAAAATTCAAAAGTGTATCGGGGCTTATAAATCAGGGAGGACAACTGGGATATAATCCGGTGATGTTTTCCCACTTCAAATAGCAGTTGCACACAGCAGAGGCATTTATTTGGGGTCTGGTCACTTTAATTTTGTGAAACAAATGATCAGTTTCATACTTTACTTGTAATGATAGCTTGCTCCACATAAAACATTTAATTCAAATCCTCAGCTTTGTGAGGCAAAGGTAGTAGAACATCTCCCATTTTGCAGATGAGAAAAGAGATGGAGATTAAATGGTTCAGTTACTGCATGAATCAAACAAGTGACAGACCTGTAATCCAAGTGCAGGATTCTTTATGTGAGACAGGAGGAAGTTACTTGGGACTTTTCAAACATATGGTAGAAGCAACATGGTGTGTTCTGGCTCTGAATTCCTGCCCTGCTTGTTACTATCTGGGTGGCCTCAGTCCAGGCACCAGACCTCTCTGAGCCTCAGTTTCCCCATCTGTCAGGAATTTGGATTAGCTGGGGCCCTTTTTAGGACCCCATTTTGTCCTTGTGTTTTTCAGCCAAATTGGTTCTGTGAAGTCTCCACTAATGTAACATAATTTTAATCCAGTCTATGAGTAATATAATCCCATGGGCAAGACATTCCATTCAATTAACAAGCAATTTGTTAATGATCCCTGATGTATCTGTGATTCTCCATGTACTGCTGGTCTTGGGACTCCTTTACATTCATAAAAATTATTGAGAACCTCAAAGAGTTTTTGATTATGGGGGTTACATCTATCCATTTCCAGTGTAATAGTGTAAATTAAAATGTTTTATGATGAAAATAGCTTTTGACCTCACAGACCCGTTCAAGGGTCCCTGAATTTTGGGAACTTCTGATCTAGGCAATTGTAACTCCTCTAGAACACTTCATCCTGTGCTATTGTCAGGCAACTAGCATTTATTAAGCACCTACTATGTGCCAGGAACTGTGCCAAAGGTTAGGGATACAAAAACAGGCAAAACACTGTCTACTTTCAGGTAATTCACAGTCTAATGGGACAGCACTTGTAAACAACTATGCAAACAAGATGTTAAGTCATTTCTAACTGGGACCCCATTTGGTGTTTTCTTGGCAAAGATACTGGAGTAGTTTACCATTTTTTTCTCTGGTTCATTTTAAAGATAAGGAAACTGAGGCAAACAGGGTTAAGTGACTTGCCCTGGGTCATACATACAACTAGTGTCTGAGGCCACATTTGAGCTCAGGTCTTCTTGACTTCAAGTCCAGTGCTCTATCCACTGAACTACCTGGCTGCTCTAGATGTAGACAGGAGAAATTGGGGATTTTCTGAGAGGGAAGGAGCTGTGAAGGACTGGGAAAAGGCTTCTTGCAGAAGGTAGGAATTTTACCTGAGACCAAGGGAGGCTGGAAAGTGAAGATAAGAAAGGAAAACATTCCAGGCATCGGGAGTGCTATGTGTGAAGAACAGCCAGCAATGAGGCCTATGTCACTGGATCGGTGAGTAAGCAGACTAGGAAGGTAGGAAGGGACCAGATGATGAAAGACTTTGAAAGCCAGACAGGATTTTGTCTCCCTCTGAATCTTTCCCCAAGGATCCACTGTAAAGAAGAGGCCTTCTTTGGGTTTTTGGTGTTTCCAAGATCTTGACACCTTTTTCCGTCTTCTCCAGTTATGCATGTCCTCAGTAATGCCCTGAGTGTCATTTCTGTGTGCAAGTCACCATTGAGAGCACGCTAATTATATGCATCGCTTATTTCCTTTGCCATTTATGATCCTTGTAGAGTGTCCTCAATATCTAGCCAGGTTTCTTAGAGTTCCAGGTTCATCTAATCCAACTTCAAAATCTGTCCAAGACACACATGTTCATAGAAGGAATTAATGGGCCACCCATCTAGTTGTTTGTGAGAGTTTGGACAATGTAATAATTGTTATCCACTTTGTTTTCCCAGGGTAGATGGTTAGACAATCAAGCATTTCTGAGAATTTTTGCTGATGAGATTTTTGATGTGCTCCGAGGCTTGATGCAATTAGTGTAGTATCTAAATTGGAGTAAACTAGTGAATCTCATCATGAGTTTTTGCAGTTATATCCAACTCTTCTTTACCTCTTGGCCCATACTGTCCATGAGCTTTTCTTGGTAAAGATACTGGAATGGTTTGTCATTTCCTTCTTGAGAGGATTAAAGGAAACGGGTTAAGTGACTTGCCTAGGGTCACACAGCTAGTAAAGCTCAGGTGAGATTAGAACCTTGGTCTTCCTGACTCCAGGCCCAGTGCTGTATCCACTGAACCATCTAGCTGTCACTCATCATGAGTAGAGTAGCCTTTTGCTGGGACTCTTCCTGGATGATCATGATGCTGGCAAATGCCTTATGTAATGCTGCTACCTCTTGCCTGCACTATTTCAAATGGCCTCCTATTTGGTCTCCCTGTCTCCAGTCTCTACCTTCCAATTTATCCTCCACATAGCTCCCAAAGTGATTGTCTTGAAGCTTATATCTGTTATCCCTGCTCAGAAAATGCCAGCTAGACCCCTGTTACCTTTAGGAGCCAAGGAAAACTGATATTTAAATCCCATCACAAACTGGTTCCCACTTACCTTTCTAGGCTCATTATGCTTCATCCCCTTTGAAGCAATGCAGGTTCCAGCTAGACTGGCCAGTTTGTTCTTTTTATACAGTATTCCACCTCCTTTGCATAGGCTGTCCCCCATAATAAAAATGCCTTCCCTCCTCATCTCCATTTTCTAGAAGTCACGATCATTCCTTCCTCCAAGGTCCTGTACGTCTAGTTCTGAATTTACAATCTCATGAACAAAAGCCTTGCTTTGGAAGGAGTTTATGTTCTACTAGGGTGTTAGATCATGTGCATAAATAAATATAGGGGATAGAGACTGGACCTACGATTTTGTATGTATAGGCACCCTCAATTCAGGTGGACATCTCTTCAGCTTATATTCTTAGCAGCTCTAGGTTTAGTGACAACTAGTATGCGTTGGGGTGGGGCTTGAACCTAGGCCTTCCTGTCTTGGGCTGGCTATCCACTAAGCCACACTGCCTACAATTTGAGACATACAGAGAACAAAAAAGTTCAGAAGAGCAAAGCAAGGCAGTTTGTCTAGGAGGGTAATTAGTAAGAAAAGGCCACTGGATTTATCAATTGTTGGTAACCTTGAAGAGCAATCTCAGAAGTGGTAAGAAAATGAAGACAAGTCTTTTCAGAAGTTTGGCAATGGAGAAGGGCTAAAAGCTGAGAGCTTGGGATGGTACAATCAAATGAGGATTCTTTAAGAAGGGGTTAGGCCTAAGCAAGTTTTTTGGAAGTGAGAAAAGAACTCATAGGGAGGGAAAATGAGGTAAAGAATGATTGATGAGGCAAGCTCCTGAAGGAGAAATGGGAGGAAATGTGGTTGGCAAA